GGGGCACAGTAATGTTTGTTGAGTGAATGAATAATTCCCCCCTGCATAAATTTCAGTATAGTCCCTCAGAAAGGCCAGGGGATCGGCAAATTAATGAGGTCCAAAGGCCTTTGTGAAATGATTCCAGCTCCCAGAAGCAGCCAGGACTGGGCAGTAGAGGCCTCTATGGGGGAGGAGGCTGGGGATACGATGGTGGTTCCCCATTCCCCTCTAATCCCTTTCCTCTGCAAAAAGGATTCTCAAGGACAGCAGCAAATATGTTCTGAGAAGCTGTGGGTCAGAAGTGAGCAGAAATAAGGTGGATCAAACGCTTGCAACTCCGGAGAAGAAAGGTCCAGCGCACGAGAATGCGATTTCTCCTGACAGCAGATGAGAGGAACTGTCCATTTTCAGCTATCTGGGTCAACTGGGAGGGGTCGTGCATAATGCAAAAACTATTTAAAAACAAAACCCCTTGCTGGTATTTGGAAAGCAGCAGGAGGTGTGTGTGGGCCCCAACGCCCCTGCCTCCCTCTCCCGCCCCTCCTCTGTCTGTGGGACCCTTCGAAGGGGGGGTGCAACCCACAGATAATGCACTCACATCTAAGGAGAAGAGTGGTTTTTAGGACAGCTGAACAGAAAATTCCAACCCGCCCAACACGCACCCGAGTAGATGGGAAAGTGGGACTGCCCGTGGCTGACTCAGCTCAGGGGCATGAGAATGAGGCAAGGCCAGGAGAGGAAAAGTTGACCATGTGGAGAAACACAACGAATATGGGGAGGGAAGGGTGGGGGGACAAGGATATATACTGTAGGAATCTGAGCGGGTGAGCGTGCGGCTGTTGACTGTGACTTCCCAGAACAAGAACACCGAGGAAGACACAGGAAAATGCCCCGCAGCCCGAGCAGGGGAATGAGGCTGCCGCAACCTTTAATTTCAAACTCAGAGATGAGCTCTCCACACCAAGGCTGACTTCTGGGCCTTTGCCTTCAATTTTCTCTTTTCCCGATTTGCATCACAACCACCTATTTGCATCTCAACTGTCACACGGTGCAAATGGGTTGCTGTTGGCTTCGGCCCACCCCAGCCCTTCCTTCCCTGGCTTCTGTGGGTTTTCTATAGCTGGGGAAGGAGAAGAAATTGCTCAGTGAGACCTGACAATGTGGACAGAGTCCTTGGGAGATACAAAGGGCCTCGTTCAAGCACCGCTGTTGTTGTGAATGGCCTGGCAGAGCCTGAGATTCAGTAAGAGACTCAGCAGGACCTCAGGTCTGGTGAGGACCGGGAATTAGATTAGCATCCTTATTAGGAAGGACTGTCCCAAAGTTCCCACTGAGGGGTTAAACTGCTTCCTCCCTCCCTGTTTCCCTCGCCACTCGCCACTGCCCACAGTGGACTTTTAGGGTCCTCCTTCCTATAAAAACTCGGCAGGGCCCAGTCTGGGAAAAGCCCTGGGCCATCTCATTGCTACTTTATCATTCAGCCACTCATTATCTCGACCCATGCTTGTTTCCAGAGTGCCTCCCAAGTTCCAGGCAGAGTACACTGCTCTGGTTACCCTGTGAGTGCTGGGTCATTCGGTGTAACTGGGAGACAGGTATTAACGAGGTCACTACACTAATCCCTGGAAAACCACAATCAGGAGTGTGAGGCAGTCACATGGTCCCACAGAGCCTACAACAAAGGACTCTGACCTCTCCTCGCGCTCCCTTCCCTCCTCCAGATTTGCTCAATGAACATAGTTTTCTGGACAGCAAGCAAATCCAGAGTCACCTTCCACCCAGACACAAGTCCCAACAGGTGTACTATCCCCTCAGAAAGGGAACTGCAAGAAACAGCAATTTTCTAAAATCTCTTTTGCAACAGTTGCCTGATTTCTCCCAGATTCTGGACACTCCGGCAGTGTTCAATTGCCAGGAACTTCTGTCTCCCATTCCCGTCTGCAGCATGGCTGAACGCGCCACGCTGGGCAGCTGGGACACGCCCTTCAGACCGGCCCTCGGGAGCATTCCCCGGCCAGTGCTGAGTCCCTCTGGAGAAGCATGGGAGACGCACAAGAGCAGGGCTGGAGCAGAAAGCAACTCGCCCCTCCCTCTGATTGAGGAATGAGCCTGGGGCCACATGGAGGATGGCCCAGAGGACCTTACAGTGGGGTAGCCTGGGCTTCTGGGCTGCCTCTCCTCCTGTTAGCTCTCCCTCTGCCCGTCGCTGTGCCCTAAGGAGTGGGATCCTGTGGCGAGGAGCTGGCCTCTGCTGTCAGACTGGGCAGCAGTGATGAGAGCAGGGACGATGGCTGCGCCTGGGTGGGGGGCAGTCACTCGAGGCAGGCTGGACCCAGACATCCCGCAAGCATTCCTGCAGACACTTCAGACAGGGCTTCTAGCAATAGGAGCCCGAGATAAAACCAAGAGGATCAGGGTGACCTTGACAGCCCCCAAGCCGTGGTGGAGAGCAGGCCCTGGGAGTTCTGGCTTTACTGTTGGCAATACTCGCTGGGGCCGGTCCTGGTCAGGGGCCACGGCTCCTCAATAATGACAATGGCTGATGTTTTGTGTGGCAGGCCCCGTGCAGGTCCCTGCATACATCTCTCCTCTCCTCTGCACATCCCTTGTTGATACCCTCCGGGCAGAGGCAATACCTAGCTGCTTCCCCACATTTCCCAGCCTTCTGCAGAGAGCTGGGGCCATGTGACTATTTAACAGTTCTGGCTAATGGGCCCCTGGGCACAAGTCACAGAGCCACTTCTGGGAAGAAGCACAAAGAGACCCTCTAGCTGTCTCTCCCCGCTGCAGCGACCACGACACTGCAGACTGCACAGAGGGACCCCATGGAGGGCAGTGTCCCAGCCGACCCATGCTGGACAAGTAATACAGGTGAGAAACAATAAACTTCTATTTGGGGGTTAACGTGTCACTGCAATAGAAACTGATTGACACATTCTCTTTGTTTTCTATTTCTTTTTTAAACAGATGAGCATAGTGAGGCTCAAGAATTCACCTGGGTTCACAGAGCTTACTAGCAAATAGCAAGACTGGACTTAAACACAGGCCTTGTCTGATTCCAGAGCTTGTGCTGCCAACACACAAGCTGCCTCCCTCCTGGGGTGCCTCCCACATCAAGGCCAAATTCCTTGGCTTGGCATTCGAGGCCCTGTAGGGCCTGTGGCCCAGCCCACCTCCCTACTACACAAAGCCCGCATTGTTCACGTGGGTCACTGCCTGTTCCCTGGATCGCCTTGTAGGTCTCTACCTCTGGGGCCTCTCTGTGGGCCCTGCCCAGCCTGGCCAGCCAACCTTCCTGTGCATCCAGAGGCTCTGCCCAAGACCCCTCTCGCCACAGAGCCTGTCCTGATGCTGCCAGCCCCTGCTGCCCCTGCTCCGGCAGACCCTGCACAGCCTGTGGCCACTGGACCCTGAACCCCATGCTGGTATTAGTGCTTCTCTTCTCTTGAGCATTGCTCCTCGCCTGAAACCAAGATGGGACTTTCTTCTGATGTTCTCATTCGTACAGTAATCTCTACAAGGGGGTACCTGCACTTTAGGGGGATACAAGATGATCCACTGGGGTTTGAGAAAATATTAGAATGTGTTTCTATGCCTGTTTTTATCCCCCTTTAACAATCACATTTTTATATATGTTTTAAAATGCATTAATACATATTTGCATAAACATACTGTTGGCCCCTTGGGAGAGGGACCATGGGTTACACTCCTAGTAAACAGTAGGTGATCAGGACATGCTCTAGTTATCTCAGACAGACAGGTAGGGAGCAATTCAGCAGGACTTGGAGGCACGGGTGCACAGACATGTGCTCACACACATGTGCTCACACACACATACCCGCAGTGGGACTGACTCGCTCATGTGGCCCTGCGTCCTTGGAGGGACATGTCCAGCTGAGAGAAGCTGAGGGGAGGTGGGCAAAGGAGTGGGAGGAGGGGCTCCTGGGTAGGCATGGTGGGTCGTCTGCTAAGCAGCCAGGGTGAAGTAGGGCGGCTCAGGGGGAGGGGAGGAGGAAGCCCAGCCCGGAGAAAGGCCTATGCAGGAGCCCCTCTCAAGGAGTAATTGAAGAGAAACACCTTGGGCTGGAAACCTAATGGAATTCCTGAGCGAGTGTGCAAGGGGAGCAGCAGTCATAAACCGAAGTCTTATTAACATGGTGGCTGGTGGCGGGCAGGGAGGGGGCACAACGGGGACTGTCCGAGGCAGGCAGAGAGGGTCTTGAAGGGATGGAGACCTGTCCCCAGACAGGCCTGGCCCTCCTCCCACCTGATGATGCAGGGAGTGGCAGGGCTGGCAGGAGGGGCTGCAGCCTGGCCCAGAGCCCCCTCCCTCCCCATCCTCCCCAACCCCCACTTCCACCAGACCCCTTGGGCGAGATAATTCAGGCATCTTTTTATGGCCTGGGATCCCCTCCGAAGCACTTAGGTTCCCCTGGGTGAACTCCTCACATGGAAAAGGGGTGTCATTATTACGCTGAAAACAGGAATCGGGCTTTATGCCAAGGCTGTCGTTGATATAGGAGCATAAACTGGGGCACGTACATCCTGGAGAGATGAACCCTAAGGGTGTGAGAAAATGTACTTATGGCTTATTTCTGCCTTTTTAAAATAAATTTTTTATTTTATTTTTTTTTTTAATTTTTTTTGTGGACGAGGTTCTGGGGCCCCAAGAGAGGGGGGCCCCAGAAGTCACCCATTTCTGCCTTTTAAAATTGCTATTTTTGTGCATGCTTTATAATGTACATACCACAGTCGTATGATGATCATTTATATAACATCTGAATAAGTAAGTACACAATGGAGGTGTGTGTCCACATGTGGGGAGTCTCCAAAAGTGGAGACTATGGATTTTTGCAGACTTATTTATCCTCAGAACCTAGCAGACGCAGGGTGCAGCAATATTTCTTTCTATTTTATAGCCGAGGACCTGACACCCAGAGACGCCCGGCATCCCTCCCAGGTTGCACAGCAGAGACAGGGGGGGCGGGTCTGGAGGGGCCGTGTATCTGGGGACTCACCTCATCCTTGTCCACCACCTGGATGAAGAGGGGAAGGGCGAAGCCGACCTGCGCCAGCTCAGTGATGGCCACGCTGTACTCAGAGCTGTTGAACTCTGGGGCATTGTCGTTGATGTCAATCACCAGGATGTTGAAGGTTGTGGTGACCGTGGCATCAGACGGGGTACGGTCATCATTCAGCTCTGTGCCCTGCAGACAGAGGACAATCAACGCAGGGGTGAAGGCAGCCATACTCACAATGACAGCTACTGCTTGCCAAGGACTTTCTCAGTGCTAGGCACGGGGCTTTATGTGAATTAGCCCATCTAATCTTCACCCCAACCCCAGGAGGAAGACTCCATCATTAGAATCCCCATTTCAGTGATAAGGAAACTGAGGCTCAGAAAGGTTAAGTAACTTGTACAAGGACACACAGCCACAGTAAGTTTCAAACTCAGGCAGTAGGATCCTAGAACAGACAGGAGACAGATGAAATGGGGTAGGGAGGACTAAACAGATTTAGGGGTTCATTGAGAGGCAAAGAGAGAGTCTTTACTCAATTTTGCAGATGATGAACCAGGCCAAGAATTTCTGTGCTGGTGTTTAATCAGGACATACTTGAGCATCTTCTACAGACTGAATACTGTGGCTGGCGCTATGAGGGTCTGAGTTGAACTCAGAAATAGGTGGGCTGATTCAGATGTCTGGGTGCTCAGGCTCTGGATCAGAGACCCAGGCCCCAAAATACCCATTCCCAGTTCTTCCCCCAACCTTCTGAACCGGAATCTCTGGGCGAGACACAGGAACAGGTGTCTTTCACCAGCTTCCCAGGGCACTGGGCTTCGCAGCGAAGTGTGGGAACCCACCCTCACGTTTTGTATAAAGATGGAAAGCTGAGCTGGAGTCCTGCGGGGAATGGGGGTGGTGCTGGGACCAGGGGGCCGCTCTCTCCCAGGGGACCTGACCATTCACCTCGGCAGGAGGGCAGCAGCGACAGGAGGGGAGATCTGGGGGTGGGGGGAGGGTGGGTTAGCATGCGCTCCCTGAACAGGTGAGAGGCAGGGGCAAATTCATTGCTGCTGCAGGTCCTCTCAAGGTCAAGGAGAGCAACTGAGGGCCTGCTGGGCGGCGCCATCCTCCCCATGCCCATGAAAGGGGCTCCTTCTCAGAGCCCCTCGCCTCAGTCTTTGGGCCACCCGCTCCTCTCAGTCGATGGTGGGGGCTGGGCAGGCCCCTGAGCTCAGGCAGGATCCACACCCCTAAATGGGTCTTCCCGGGGAATGGCTCAGCAAGTCATTGATTTCAATTAAAACCGACCGTGAGTGGCAGGTGGCTGCAGGGGCAGGGGTGTGGGTGGCTCCACCTCTCCTCCCAGGGTGGGGGCCCCAGCAGCTTCTGCTCCCTCCCCGTGGCATTGCTGTTTCTTAACCCAAGAATGCCATTAAATTTAGAAATGGGACAAAACCCTGGAAATGGGGCAAACTCAAGAATTCTAGGTAGCTTCGACAGAGGAAGCGTGGACAACAGTTAGGACCACAGGATGAGCACCTGCTATGTGCCTCCTCACCCCTGAGACGGGGATGAAAGTCCCAATGCTGTGCGGTATTGGTAATGGATGTGAAATGCCCGGCAGATGACACCTGATCACACACTTGGTATCTTCCCCACAGGGCCCCTGGGCGGGAGTCCGGGGACTCAGTGCAGAGTGGGGGAGCAGAAGTGATGTCCTTCTGGGACCTGCGCCTGGGGCAGAGCCCTCGGACACCACTGGGGCCTGGCATCACAGCGAGGCCAGCCCCTCCACCTGGCGTGCGGGTGCCGACTACCCGGTCTCACCTTCACGGTCAAGATGAAGCCGTGGCTGTACAGGGGGTTCTCCCGGTCCAGCAGGCCATTCAAGGTCAACGCCCCGCTGATGTAGTCCAGGGCAAAGATGCTGTTGGTGTTCCCTGCAAGAGAGAGAAGCATTCCAGGTGTGACTGGGCCCAGGGCAGGTGGGCAGGGAGCTGGGGGCAGGGCTCCTCTCTGGACATGCAGACCAATCAGTAACTTATCAGGGACGCTGGTTAAAGAGCAGTGGAAAGAAGTCCACAGGAGCCCGCAGTCCAGGCAGCCAACAGACAGCAGTGATCACTAAAAGAGAACATTAGGCCCTTTCCAGTCTCCTTCTGGCCTCTCCCTGAGCCAGGGAGAAAGTCTTGGTTTGGCGCTAGTATACCTTTAACACCTGTCTAACACTGGCTCACTCCCCTTTCCAACAGAGTGAGAGCAGGCTTTAGGCCCAGAGCCTTCAGGCCCAGGTGGGAGTGGTACCCACCTAGGGCACGGTAACCTTGTTTTGTTTCCCTTGTGCTTATTTTTATGGTCTCATTCTATTCTATACTATTCCATTCTAATTTTCTATTTATGGCAGTGATAGAAAGTTTCCTTTTATGATAAATATAAGTTAAAAACAATTCAGTTTAAAAAATAAGTGCTTATGTTAAGTACTTATTAAAATTTAAGTACACATGTACAGTACTGACAGAAATCATAACCCAAACGACACCTGTCTCAAAGCGATGCCTCCGCAGTCCCACCCTCTCTCCCCTTCACAGGCACCCGGTGCCCTTACACTGGCTTCCTCGGGTTCCCCAAATCACCATGCTCATTCCTGTCTCCTCGTCTTTCAGTGCCCACCTTCCTTTCTTGTCCTCACTCTCCCAGACTCCCAGCTCAGTGCCCGCCTGGCCTTCTCCTCCAGGAAGACCACCCTGACTTCTCTAGCTGACCCCTTCTGGTCCCTGTAGGCAGCAGCCACTGTTCTGCAACTGCCTGTTTTTCAGTTGCTTCCTGTGGGTTACTCTGATCTTCCTGCTCTGCTGAAAAGCCTCTGAAGACGGGGGACTTTCATGACTGTCCATCAAGGTACCTGGCCAGTGTGGGCACGTGGTGGCAGGCGTGTTCCCCACCTGGGCCAGCTCTGCATAGGCTCCCACCCTTGCCCTGTGCCCTTCCCACCAGGCTGTGAATTCACCTGGGGAATCCCAATCCACTCTGCTCTCTTCTTCACTGACCAGGTTGCTGGTCCATTCACATACTCCCTCCTTCCCGTTCACTCGCACGTCCAGCAATCCCCAGCGCAGCCGTGCTACAGCCAGGCCCTGTGCTTGACACTGTGGGGCATGAACATGTCAGTCTGCCAGGAATGCTGACGCTGAAGCATCTGCAGCCTGGGAAGGGACCTCTGGCATCTCCAAGAGTCACAGCAGGGAGAGGCTGCTCACAGACGGGAAAGCTCAAAGAAGGAAAGCTTCATGGAGGAGGTGGCATTAATTCCCTAGAGCTCATACTAGCTGTGTGACCTTGGACAACTTACCTAACCCCTCTGTGTCTTGGTTCACTAACCTTTAAAACGGGGATAATAATGGCATCTTCTTTATAGGGTTATGAGGATGAAAAAAGTGTGAAAGCATGTTTATATCAGCTTGGAACAGTTCCTCAGTAAGTGTTGTTGCTGTTAAGGTTTGAGCTGGATCCTGGCGTGCGGGCAGGATTAACACCCAACCCTCAACACACAGGGAACAGCAGGATTGCCCACAGAAGCTGCCTTGCTCCTCCCCTACCCGGCTCTAAAGGGATCTGTGCACAGTAGGGCTCATATCATCTCTCAGATTAACTAGGGGAAAGGACAAGGGGAAACAATTTCCTCTTCTAACTTTAGACTTTGGGACAGGGCTGTTCTTGGCGATCCGTGCTGAGTTACTACCGGTGCTGGTCAGCAAGGCAGCCCACTTCTTCCGGGCCAGTGGCTAGCGGCCTGCTCCCTCCTGACCTCCCAGCCCACCGCAGGGGTCGGCCGAGGCACGGAGAGGCTGCTGATGACTGTGGAGCCTGTTCAGGTCTCACGTCGCCCCCAGGCTATGGGCTTCGGGGTCTCTGACGCAGGAGGGGATGCCACTCCAGCCTCCTTCTTGCCTGAGGCTTCCTCCGTGGCCACCAGAGACCAAGGTCCCTTCCCGCTGGGTTCTGTATGGCTGGGTCTGTGCAGTGGGGAGGACAGGATTGCAAGGGGGCACAGAAACGCATGAATAGAGGGAGTTTGGCTAGGAGTTTTGCTGCTGGGGAAACAAAAGATGACTGCTTTCATCTGTTCGTTCATTCATTTGCAATTAGTATGCTTCTCCTAAGGGACACATTCTACTGGGGTTGCAGCCCTATAGTACGGCCATCAGTGCGGGGTGGGGGAAGCATAGGCATCGCACACAGGGCCTCGTGAGGGGCTGGTCCTCTGAGCCCCTGAGGCTGAGCTGAAGGAGAGCCCCAGGCAAGGCCTCAGAGCCTCGCGCCCCTCCCCCACACACTCGCAGGCCGGGCCTCCTCCCCAGCCCCACGGCCAGCACCCGGTCACTCCAGATTTTCACAAAAATGTATTCTTTCCAATAAAGGAACCTATCAAACGTTTAACTAAACGTGATTCAATGTTTATCTTTGTGAGATTTTTCTTATAAATCATTCACAAACCAGAAGCCCCTTGTTAAATGATGTGCTTTAGGTTTTGGTTTGGAAAACAGGGTTACCAACCCTGGACCCTCAACTGCGTGTCCCCACTTAGCACCTGGGCCCCATTCTCGGTCACGCTGCCCACTCCCAACCCAGCAGCCGTCCCCAGCACGTAAAACACCCCTCGCTGTGACCTAGGCACCTTCTCCAACAAACCTGCAGGCAAATACCTCCCAAATAGCACACATCGAAACAAGCGTGGGACCCTCCCCAACACACACACACACACACACACACGCACACGCACACGCACACGCGTTTCTTTTTCACACATCTATCTGTGCGGCATTCCAGCCTCCTGCCAAGAACGAATGACTTACTCCCAGGACAAACAGCCAGAAAAGGCTACACCTAGAGAGCTGACACGGCCACCAACGTGAGGCACTGACTCAGTGAGATGCCCTTACTGTCACCATGGCAACATTAGCACTTGCTGGGGTGCTGCTGGTCTCGGGCAGGGGCAGGAGATGAGCCCTGCGCCCTAAGCAGGAAATGCCAGGGCATGTCGCACTCAAAGATTCTCTGATTCCTTTATTCACTTCCACTCATTCCTTTGAGCTCATGTTGAGCACCTACTGTGTGCAAGGTGCTGAAGAGTCGGCAGAGAAAAGCAGGCAAGGTTCATGCCTTCAGTCTCACGCGAGTGCCCTGAGCATCAACATGCATGCTGTGATCACGCTGCTGAAAGTGCAAGCCCCGGCTGAGCTGAGGGCCCTGAAGACAAGCAACATGGAATGGAGAGGGGTTAAGATTATGCCCTCTGGAGGCAGGCTGCATGGGTTCAAATCATGGCTCTGCTACTTACTAGCTGTGCGGCCTTGGGCAAGTTACTTGCCATATGTGGGTCTCGGTTTCCTAGTCTGTAAAATGGGGGTAAGAATAGTACCCACCCAGGGTGTTGCTGTGAGGAGTAAACAAGCTAATATGGTGCTCCCCTACCCAAGGAGCCTGTGCCTACAGGTGTTTGCCCAGCAGGGACACGGAGCCAGTGTGAGGCTCTTGCCAGAAGAGAGTACTTACCTGTTGGCTTCCTGGAGGCCAAGGCCCAGGACAAAACCCTCAGACCCACAAGGCCTCACACCCAGGGCTCCAACCTCTGCTCCTTCCATCACTCGCCCCTGGGGGACGCTGCTTCCCTGCCTCGCTCCCCTCCCTACTCCCCCACTCCCACATCCTCCCTTCCTGGGGGCTGTGGGCTTGGCAGCCGCACTCACAAGTTTCTTTGCTCTCCTGGAAACTGATACCACCATGTCAGCCCTCTGGTCTCCCAGATGTTCTTTACCCAAGTCCCATGGGGGGCTGAGCGGCTCACTGGGGACGCCTTTCACCTGTTCAGCCCCCACTGCTGAGCAGAGGGGCAGCTGCTTCCCCTGGGTGGACAGGTGGCATCTTGAGTGTGTGGGAGGTAGAAAGGCAGGGGAGGGGTTCTCAGGGTGGAAGTGGGGGCTGTACCTTTAGTGTCCTAAGGATTCCAGGAACTGGTGACTCAAAGCAATCACAAAAGAGAAAAGCAGGTCATTACTGGCCATGCTGCTTCTCCTGGGGGTGGGGGCGGGCAGCCACCTCCTCTAGGAGCTCCAAGAATCAAGACCTTTTCAGATTTTCAAGAGGGAGGTTGAGAGAGAATGAATCATGTCTGCAAAAGTGTGCGAGGCTGCTGAGGTAGGGGTTGCAGCCTTCACCCCCCTATTTATTAAAAAATAGTAGCTGCTACTTATCGAACACTTACACCATGTGGCAGGCACTGAGCTAAGCTGTTCACATAATTATATTACTTATTCTTTACAGTCACCTTATAAGAAGATGTCCTAAGAGGAAGCAGGCTCAGAGATGTTAAATAACTTGCCCATGGTCACATGACTGGTGAGGGGCCAGCTTGGACTTAGATTTATGTCTCTTTCCCTCCCACACGCATTCACCCTACACACACGTTTGCGCCCAATCTGCACTTGGCCCTGTGCTATGGGACAGGAAATATGGTGAGACAAGTAGGGGCTCATCCTCCTTCGTAGAGTGACGTGTCAACAAACTTGCTCTTTCTCTCCAGAGGGAGTCCTAGATAAAAAACATTATATACTCTGGAAAGTTCTAGATACATTTCTCTATGATGGAGTTCTACACAGCAGCAGAATGTGCACGTGGCGGTGTCTTCCAGGCATCTGGAGAGGTGGCCTGCAGCTGGGACCAGAGGGAGAGGCGGAGCTGGAGACAGGAGCTGTCAGCACAGTGGCACCAGGGACTCGCTTCCGCACTGAGGAAAAGTGGCCCGGGCAAGGCTGGCCTTTCCCGGCAGGTGTTGGTTCTCCAAGGATAAGCAGGGATATTTATTTAGAGAGCAGCAGGGGCAGAAGAGTGGCCATGGCCAGAGAGGAAACCAGCACGCGCCAGGTGCCCGCTGGCAGGAGGG